CCAGGAAAGAGAGCGAGAGGCCCAGCTGCCCTAGTGCAGGAGGACCAAGTCTGGAGCGGTGTGGTTGCCCTCTGTTCAAGCCGCTGCTGCAGTTCGCAGGCTCTTGCCAAGGTGACCAGCACGTGGGGGACCCTGCAGGCCCTAGGCCGTGAGCCACGCCTCTCTCGTGGGCACTCATCCTTCCCTCCACGTGACTTAAGGTTGCTTCCTCCATCTGTCAAGTTCTCCAGGCTCTTTGCCGTAATCTACCCTCCAGGGGCCTAAAATCTTCTCAGGCAGGAGCTCCCGACTGAGTGGGACCATTTTTGGAGGCATGTGTAAGAAGTCCCAGTGGCAATGACCGTCAAAACAGGTGCTTAATGCCATGACATTGTGTGACTCATTGCCGGCACTTAGGGAAAGTGTATGCAAACAGTTGTTCTTGTTGACTAACACAGAAAACCCCTGCCAGTTCAGTCAGAAGGTCCATCCAGTTACAGGATCCTCCTCACAATAGCCAACCAGCCGGCTCCAGGAAGCCCTGGAGTTGAGGCCCTTGCAGTTGTGTGTCCTCAGGATCTGGTGCTTACAGACACACAACATCAGCATTTAGGGGGTCTCGTTTCACTATTGTGGCTTAAAACCATTGATAAATCTCTTTCTTCTCTACGATTTCTTTTGTGATTATGTGAATCAGAGTCAGAATTATGTGAATGTTTGATTATTTCGGTTCTTAACCTTGGTAAAACATGTTTGTGGATACTGTGGTGGTTCGTAATTTTCCAAGACTGTAAGATGTTCTTTTTGCATTCCATCAAAGTAGGTTTGGCTGTCTCAGGAAATGGCACTCACTCAGAACCTCAAGCCTTTAGTTTACCTGATGTTACCTCTCTGTTACCTGGTCATGCAAGCAGCTCAGGTGAATGTTTACAGCAGCTCTTTGGTCTGAAGAGGTACTATGGCAAAAATAGGGCCGCAGACCCGCTAGGTGAGCTTGGCCTGTATCTCAGCCCAGCCTGTCTCGTGGGGTGGCCCTTTGGATGCAACTGGAGTAAGACCTGACCCATCTGTACCCCCCTGAGCTCTCTGAAGGAAAGACTTTGCTTGGAAGCGAGAAACCGTAACTGATTCTGGGCTGTCTTCCAGGGTGGGCTAGTATTATTCCAGTGGTGCAGCACTTTAGGGGTAAGGGTCCAAGCCAGACCACCTGGGGTCCCAGTGCAAACCCCCCCCCCCCCGGTTCCACAAATGCCAGCAGCTCGTCCCCCAGGCCCCTCACTGTGGTCATCAGTCATTTCATTCAGCAGCCATCTACGTTCTGCAACAGCTCTCCTAAGGTTTGATTAAGAATTTTAAGAAAGAGCTTCACGCTAAAATATGCTGGGATTCTGGGTGTTTTGTAAACACCTCCCTACACCCCTAGAAGGAAGCCCCTTAAGAGCTGCTGCAACATGTCTTTGGCCCCCAGACTGAAAGAAGTTCAACATCTCTGCTCTGGGGTGATGGAGAAAGGCTGTTGAGATCGAATTATCTGGATCACACTCCAAGGGGCCAAGGTGCTGTTTCCCCAGCCGCCACTACCTATGTCTCATTGTCCCTCAGGGGCATCGTGGTACCCAGTAGGTCAAATCCATGCGATGGGCATCACTGCTGGTGAAGGACTGGTTGAACAAGAGCAAGGGAAATCTCTTCGCCAAGCTCATCCTTAAACTTCAGAAAGTGATCCACCAAACTTGCTGTGAAGCCCTGCAGATGGGCTTCAGACTGCAGACTTGACAAAACACCTCTCCCAACCACCATCTGCCTGGACCTTGCACTCAGCATCTGAGGCCTTCCTCCGACTGCCACTTTGAAGGGAGGCTTGGTCGAAGGCCACCAAGCAGAGAACCTTCTGGCCATCCATCCTTCCTTCCCTCCTTCCTTCCTTGGCGGCCCTCTAATAATGGAACAGGCTCTCACCGAGGCCTTCCTGGCACCACCTCTAGTCCCCTTTGGGGCCAGGCTGGGATTGCCTCTCAGGCCAGAACATTTCACTACTCTTAAGTATCTCATGGGTGTGGAGGAAGGGAAGGTCAACTGTTTTAACAGGTCTAGTTAAACCGATTTAAACAATCTTAGTTATTTAAGTGGCCTAAATTTGGTTTTACATTTCTGTCGCGAAACATATTACACTTTTATTGTTAGTTGCTTTTATACTGTATTTTATTGTACTGTATGAACGGTTATAAACTGCCCCGAGAGGTCCAGGGATTGGATGGTATAGAAGTATGGCAATGACAATAAATCCCAGCCCTTCAGTAGGGCATCCCGGTGAGCCTTCCGGCTTCTTTCCCTGGTTTTCCATTGCCTGGACACGGTTCCTCAGTCGCTCAGGCCAGTCACTGGAGTTCCACCCGTGTCTTACTCCTAGGAGGAGTAAGATTGGCAGCCTCTGCACGTAGGTGCAAAAGCTAAAGGAGGCTTTCTCAGGCTGATGCCTTCCAGAAGTGTTGGGATGGGTTCTCAACCCTGGCTGGGGGAGGCTGGGATGCGAATTATCCCCCCCACCCCAATGCATGGGAAGTGTTTAGGGCTCCACACTGCTTCAGGCCAGTCTCTGGGTGGTTCCTCTTCCATCCCCACCCTGCCTCTTCATCCCTTGGTAGCCATCCTAAGCCACCAGGGTCGAGGCGCAGGTCGAGGCGCCCCTGCATTGAATGGGCATGAGATAAACCTCCTTGAGCAAATTGTGGGGTGTGGGTGGGGGGGCAGCCAGTGATAGTTGGAGGCAGCTGTGCATTTATTTACCTGGAATCTCTTTTTTCCCAACAGCCCTATTACCATATTTAAATGCAAGTATGTCTCTCTTAATGGATACTTTACTGTAGTTTAGAGGCACTGTAGTCTATTACTTCTGCTGTTCAATTTTTCCCTGGTGTTAGAACTAGAGTTAGTGGGCTTGTAGTTGGCTCAGTTCTTTGGCTCTCTTTCTTTTCTCTTCCGTCCTTTTTTCCCCTGTATTTATTTACTGACTTAGTTACCTAGTTTTGGCCTGTAGCCTCTGAACACTTGTTCTCATAATGCCGGATTTACAAGCCACCTAATTGATTGCTCTGCATTAATTGCCCTCTTGTCACCTCAACCAGAATTGACAAGAGCAGTACAGAGATAGGTGCACCTTTTCTGCAGTTCACCTTGGATTAACTTGGACCCCACCCCAATTCTTTGAGGAGACCCTGAAAGAACGGAGAGAATTTTTTCCTCAGTCAGGTCCAGAGCTCAGGAAAATCCTCTTCCTGTGTCCCAAAAGCTCCCCACTGCATCACACACACTGACACACACCCCTTTTCCTAACGACAGTGGGAACCACGCAGGAAGTCCATGGGGAGAAGCAAACACTCTCCTTCGCCCCGAAGGCTGGGCCACGCGTGGTCGAATAATGCGGAGGGCTGCCGCTGCTGCTGTTCCTCCGCCGACGCTGCTCCAGCAGATTGGAAGTGGGTGGCTGGAGAAACACTGCAGGCGAACATTGAGACGGGGAGGCCTAGCGTGGTGGCCGCATCCAGCGCCCCGGGCAGGGCGGCAGAAAAACGTGCATGGGGGAGCCGCTCCTCCATGCCACCGCCGCCGCTGCTCTCGCCGCCACTCTAGACATTCAGAAAGAGGGGTGTGCTTTGAGAAAGCCGATGGGAGGCTTGCAAAGCCGGAGACAAGCTCAAGTGGAGTTGAAGAGCTGAGGAGGAGTTCTTTAAGGCCCCGGAGAGCCTTCCTGGTGTGTAGGACACTGGTGCGTGCCCAGGGTTGTGTCCTTGGTGCCCCCTCTCCACAATATCAGTCCCCGTCCACCCCCCAGGATACACAGCCAGTTGCAGGAGCACCCCGTGAGCAGGTGTAAGGCCAAGCCGTCCTCTTACATTCCTGCAGTTTTCAGGAATTGCATGAACCCAGAACGGGGTGCCGACCCCCTTGCTGGCTGGCAGCAGATTTGGGTGTGCAGGGCTGCGTCTGCCTGGATGTGCTTGATGTGTAATATATGGGGCCCGGCAGGGGATCCCTAGTTTACAACCAAAGTGGTGCACTGGATGGGAAGGCTTGGCTCTGCTCCCTCCCCTGCCTTGGCTTGCCCCACTGCAAGGCAGGCCTCCCCCAGTCCGACTCCCTCTGCCAGGCCAGGCCTCCCCAGTCTCACTGCCTCCAGATGTTACCTGGTCTGGGATGATGGAAGTTGCCTTCCAACACAGCTGGAGGACGTCGGCTTGGGGAAGGCCATGATAGATTCAAGTTGACTTCTGCTTGGATCCGGGAGTTTCATTTTCATGCTCCCTCAGGGGGAAACCTGCTTGCAGGTTGAGGAGGGTAACTAAAGCAAACACTCATGTCTTTGCTTCTAACTTGGAGCGGGGGACGGGGGGTGGGGGACGTGCCCCTGCCCAGTCACAGCTGTGCTGATGGCCTGCATTTCTGCCTGGATTTTTATGGGAAATTGACTCTTTTGCCCCCTCCAGGGATGGCGAGGAGTTGTCCTCTGAGGCTGCTGGGGAGCCTAGCCTGTCCCCAGATGACTGACATTTCAGCCCATCCTCCCCCAATTGGTGCCCTGCAAATGGTGTGGAAAGCAGCTTACCGGGTGCCTGAGGCAGGAAGGCTAGCAGGGAGGGGAGACGCCCAGAGTTGGTGGTCCAACCCTTCTGGAAGGATCGCCATGCTGAAGGGTTCTCCAGTCTACCCCGACGGTGCGGGCTGGCTCTTGGGGCCCACTGCACCCACAGACAGAGAACTTCTGTGTGAGGCCGCCTGCTTCCTGTCTGTGGGGCAGGCAGGAACCCACGGCACAGTAGTGTGGGCCGCACCTGGTTGCCCTTTGAAGCGTGCCATTGTCATCGTTAAAACGCACCGACTTAAAGCATGCCCGAGCGGCCCTCCCCTTCACGCACGCATGAGCCACACCGGTCGCGCCCGTGCTCTGCTCACGGTGGCTGGCATTAACACGGGCTGTCCGTTGCATCTTTCCTCTTACCCTTCTTGTTTTTCCCCATGGCCAGGTTTCCCGGCAGCAGCCTACGGACCAGTTGCGGCAGCGGCAGTGGCAGCAGCGAGAGGATCAGGTAGGGGCTCTGGAAGAGGTGGCTGCAGGGCATTCCCTCAGAGTGCAGGGCAGGTAAAAGCTCTGCCGGTATTCCGTGTGGCTGCAACTGTCCATCGGGTTCTCTGGTTCTCCTCGCATTTGTCCCAGGTTGAGAAAGCCACCAGACGAAACCGAACGCTACAAGCGGAGGCCATGAGTCTCAGAGTAGTGAACAGGCTGTAAGATAGCGCGAGCTTTTGAAACCACGGGAGCTGTAGGATGGACCTTTTATTTAAAAGGAAAACGGGAAGGACAATAAATATTTCCTTTGCTGAGCAGTTTGCACTAGGCTAACAATGTAATCTTTCCTCCCCCGCCTGAATCGCCAGCTTTACAGTCTGGAGTGCTGTAGCTGCAGCTTTACTCAGAGATACTCCAATCCCATCAGCAGTAATTTAGAAATCTGCAAATCTATTGCAATCAGCAAGGAATGCTAATCACGGGTTGAGGACCAGGCCATAAAACACAGTGCCCAGACTTAATCAGTAGATCGTGCCAGGGCCACCCCACTACCCTACACATCAGGATTTGGGTTTCCCTCCCCCGCCTCCCCATGATTTCTTGGTTATTGCTGTCTCTCATTCACATACTCAGCAAGTGTAAACAATTGATTTGCAAAGTATTTCCTTTTTTATCATGTAAAACCATCGCAATCCAAATAAGGCGACATGCGTGAGCCCAGCCATGTGCAAGGACAGAGTGGACGTCCTCATACACGGACGCCCACTCTTCCCTCCCACCATGGGCAGGCAGCAGGCTAGTCGAACCTGGAAGGCCGCTGCGATAGCGTCTCCCAAGACCCAAGAAGAGATTCTCCCCAGTTGCAGACACGATGCCAAGCTGCAGTGGAAGGTCCTTAACCACAGTTTGGCATGAAGCCCGAACAGAGAAAATTATGGCCAGCAAGTAGGTCTGCTTGCTGCTGTTTGTGCTACTCGCAGTTGGTTAGGAGGTCTGAGCTGTCGCCTCATGGCCATCGCCGCAGCGGCACACGCTGGAGGTGGAAATGACTGGACAAAGCTGAGCATGGAGAGGATGGAAGACAATAGCAGACAAGCCGCTCTAAGCCATGATCTGATTTGCTTGTTTGCAAGCTCAGTCCTTGGTTTTAGTTCTTAACTATGGATAGCCCAAACATAGGGCACGATGCAAAGAGAGTTTTAAGGTTCTAAAGGGGTTTAGGCCACCTTTATGGATCAAACCCTTGCACAGTGTAACTGGAGTCTAAGTCAGAAAGGCTCTGCCAAAGAACACGACCTTTTCCAAACACCTGCACAAAACCAATGCGCTCTTTGAGCTTGGATATAGCTTCACCTTTTGTTACCTGCTGCAAACTCTGGCTCTCATTTTTCTTAAGAAATATTAACCCTTTTCTGTCCACCTATGAAAAGCTCCGCTCCCTTCCAAACCCTAGAGTCCCTCCTGCTATGGGAGGGAGAGCTAAGCGTTACCTTATCAATTTCAGGAGATGTGAATTAGCACCTCGGCATAACTGACCAGTTGATTCAATCATGAGTGGGCTGTTAAGACTGACCAGAGCCTTTCTTTGTTGCTGTGTTCGCTTGTTAGCAATTCTGAATGCAAGAGCAAGGACAGAGGGGAGGCTCCCCCTCTTTGAGTGGGTTCAGTAGCTCCCCAACCCGTCTTACTTGCGCATCTCTTTCTCTCTTGCCTAGCATGTTTACTCAGCCATTTGTTCTTGCTCATTTTAAGTGAGTTATTGGATGTGGTGGGAGAAGGGAAGAAACAATTGGACGCATTCTGCCTGGGCCCAAATTCCCCTGCCAGATTTGTACACAATGAGACATGTAGCAAAGAGACTGGCGGTATCGGTTTTATTCAGCTCTCTCATGATTATATTCATTTAGTGTGGAATTTCTATGCTCGTTATTAGCTAGGCCTCTTCAGTCCCACCCCCCCAAAAAGGGGGGAAGATCCCCAAAGTGGAAAGGGCTGCCAAGCATTACCGCCCCCATTAGATTTTGGGGTACAAACTGGATTCTTTAGGGTCCAAAGTGAGATGCTTGGAGAACTCCGTTCCATGCAAACTGGCACTGTTTCTGGGGCTACAAAGGATCATCCATAGCAGTTTAATGTTGTGGTTTGTAAGAAAGATCTGGGGAGGAGGGGACTTGCTAAGCAACATTGGGATAATATTTTTCCTTTCCCTTCTTTTTCCTTTATTTCTACCTTTTTTTTTTTAAGAAAAAGATTTTATCTATTATTTGAGGAAGAATGGACAATCTTCTATGTCCTTTCCCCTTAATTTATCCTGATTCAGTTCCAGTCTTATTTTAAATAGAGATGATGAGTTTTCCCATAGAAAAGCTCAGGGTTCTACCAGATAAACCTCGACCTTTATTGTTGTCCTGTTTTAATTAGAGTGCGATTGGTGTCCATTGCAACTGAATAGAGCATCAGCCAATTTCTCTGCTTGATATCATTTGATTCTTTTTACTTTATCTTTTTATTTTTATTTGGTTTTAAAAGAAAGAACAAATTAACATGTGATACAAAGCTAGCTCTAACCAAAATTAACAACGACTTATCTGGCAAGTTTAAAGAGCAGTATGGTAGCCCGACATACACCGCCTGTGTTTTCAGAGTTTTTCCCCGCATGCAATGCCACCCCTGCGACTCTATACCTTGACTGTAGGATTTCCCTGGAAGGGAACCGATGCTGATAGTGAAGTGTTTTCAGGAGCATCGGAGTGCAAGTGCCCTGCAGATTGAGCTCCAGACTGATTCATTACAGGACAATAAAGAAGGGAAAACATTGGCTAGAAACCTCGGCCATCCATTCTTGGTTGATTACAGGGATGTTACACAAGGCGCCTTTGCCAGACCCCATCCTGAGCTGAGAGCACGGTGTCTTAAATTTATTATCCAAATGATAAGACACTCTTCAATTCAGTAAGCATGTCTGGGTCTCCCCCTAATGAGAATATTACATGGAGGGGGTGTCTTGCACCTCCCCTCTACACAAGGGAAGACGGGTCAAGAAAGCCTCCAGGCGCAGTGTTTGCGCTTAGAACTAAAACAGTGGAGAATTTTGCTCCCCGAAGCACGGGAGACTCCCTTGCACACGCAGGAGGAGGATGCGTGTACATGGAAATCTCTTCCCCTCGCCAACAGGGGCCATATTTTCCTTTTGGGTGAAGAGAAAGCTCTGGCATTAGTCTAGAAGCTGGGAGCTATGCAAATTCAAGCGAATTCTGCTATCCCACCTCTAGGTCAGGACAGCCTCCTGACTAAGGCAGATAACAATGAGAATAGCTTTACAAATAAAATCACAGAGCATTAAAACAAGCCCAAAGAAAAACAGGTAACAACAAAAGGCAAGCTGAAAATACACTAAAAGCTTAGCTAAATAGAAACACCTTGCCTGTCTACCTAAATTACATCAAAGATGGGTCCAAACTGTCTTCTTGGTAGGGAATTCCACAGCAGCCAAAATGCCCTGCCCTGTCGCCTTCTCTTCGTGACAGAATGAAGGCTAAGCTCACCCCATTGGTAAGGAAACCGGGTTCTTCTTGTAAGCCAGGCCTTCTGGCTTACCTTCCCAGCACTTCACTTAGCCTGGATGCCATTTTTAATGAGTCAGGACTGGAGCCCCATTGCTATGGCAGTCAGCGTTCTGCAGCAAACCGCCCTGAGACAGTTTCACTATCAGCGCCGCGTTTGTCCCCATCCGGAGTATGCACAGATCTCGTGTGGAAGCCAGCGTTCCCTGTCCAGTGTGAAGGACGCAGCTGCTCTGGGCACATTCTTTACTGCATGCTTCGTAGGAAAGGCATCCTGCCTTTGCTGACAGGATGCCATTACGTTCAGGTGAAGGGTTCCTCTGGCATATTTGAAGCGCCAACACTTTGCTTCCCCAGTCCATGGAGTGGGTGCATGGCTGCTGCCTCCCCATGTCCCAACGGCCACGTGGATGAGACGTGGGCCGTGCAGAGGTCTCTAGGTGCAAAGGCCTCATTCCTGAGACATTTCCACACTGGGCTATTAGGCATACGGGCCTCCCTATGGGGCACCCATCCCACACTTTCCTTAGCTGAGTGGCGGAGGCTGGCGAGTCCCGATGCCTCCACTCCATGGGGTGGGGGAGGTTCTGTCTGCATTCCTTGAAAATGCCATTTGCTGCTTTGCTCCCCCTGGGAGAAAGCAAAGCCATCGGGCTGTTTCCAATTCTGAGGCAAGGGTCTTCACTCTGTACATCCGAGGCTCGGTCCTTGTGATCATCCCGAGGGCCAGAGATTCTGCTGCCGGCCGCTCCCCTGCGTGGCCCCCTGCAAGTCCCTGCGCTGGGAAGCGAGCGGCGACACCGGCAAGGGAGGGCCCCAGCAGAAGCCGCCCTTCTCTGCCTGCCCCCTCGGCTAGAGCACGGCTCCTCCCGCAGTCCCGAGCTGCACGACTCCTTACTGTCCTTTACACTTGCCGGCCATAACAATTCTCATGACACGAGCTACTGACCCTGATGGTGAGTGAGTAGTTATGTTCTTGTTGTTTTCTCTCTTGCTTGGTTGGGGCTGCTGTGAGAGAGGGGGTCTCTGAGGCATTCTTTCCGGCCTCTCTTACACTGGGACGTGCACTCCTCTCAAACACTCTTCTGAGCACGCTCAGCAGGAAGGTTTGTCCACACCTATTAATCCTCTGTGTGTCCAGCTTCTTGTTAGTAGCAGCTGGGGTTGCATGTTTTTTTGCTTGTTCAGATGAAACGGTTCAAGAAACAACTCATATCCAACTCTTGAAAAATGTCTCTCTCTCTTCAATTATTATTTGTTTCATTTGTTTTATTTTAGTACACCTTCTCTCTTTGGTTTTATTGCTTTCCCTTACTTAATAAAATGAAACACATGTCGTTCGTAAAACATCTCACATCTCCCCTTGCCTGTTCTTAGAGTGTTATGTATCTGTGGGACTGAACTAAATGCATGCACTTGTAGTAGTCATTACTGGTAGCAGTAGACGTAGTTGTAG